AATTAGATAATCTCGATCCCTATGAGGTTTTGTTTCAAATGGTTCCAGATTATGGTTTTCTCAAAATTTTTGGCTGCAAATGTTATCCATGGTTAAAGCCTTATACTTCTCACAAATTGCAACCAAGATCCAAGGCTTGTGTATTCATTGGTTACCATCCAAGCTACAAGTGATGTAGATGTTTGGGTCCTAGTTCTGGTATAATCTACATCTCTCGACATGTTGTGTTAGATGAATCTTTTTTTCCCCATGCTTGTTATGATTCTTCTTCACCACCTCTTCTCTCTTCCAAATCTGCTATTAAGTCATTCTTTTGAGGTACTACTTCTATTTTGTCTTTTTCTCAAATTCTTATCTCTTCTTCTTCTGTTTCAGCTTCAGCTTCTCCTCGTGTTTCTTTTCTATCTTCTTATACACTAAATCATTCTGATTCTGCTTTAGTTCATGTTCTTACCTCTTTACCTTCTGCTTCCAGTCCTATCTTAAATAATTCTCGATTTATCTCATCTCCTTTATCTTTTTCTCCATCTGGTATTAAACTTACTATTCCTATTCTCCCTCCTCGTTTTTCTCACTCTCTCAATTCCTATCCTATGCTCACTCAAAGTAAGACAGCCGTCTCTTCCCAAGTTGGTCTGCTTGCTACTTTTTTTGACACTGAGTCTCGAACCTATAAAGATACTCTGTTGTTTCCTCATTGGCATCAATCTATGCTTGAAGAATTTCATGCTTTTCAAACTCAAAAGACTTGGACTCTTGTTTCTCCTCCTACTCATCAATATGTTGTTGGTTGTAAATGGGTCTTTCGAATAAAAATGAATTCAAATGGCTCTATTGCTAGGTACAAATCCAGACTGGTTGCCAAGGGTTATCTTCAAGAGGCTGGTGTTGATTTCTTATATACCTTTAGCCATGTAGCCAAGCAACCAACCATCAGAGTTTTCTTTTGTGTTGCTCTTCATTTCCATTGGTCTATTAAGCAGTTGGATGTATCTAATGCCTTTCTTCATGGAAAGCTTGAAGAAGAGGTTTTTATAACTCAACCACCTGATTTTGAGGATCCTCAATTTCCTACTCATGTGTGTAGATTAAACAAGGCTCTTTATGGTCTTAAACAAGCTCCCAGAGCTTGGTTTTCTACTTTTTTCTCTTTTCTGCTTTCACTAGGCTTTGTTACTAGTCATTGTGACAATTCCTTGTTTGTTCAAACTACTGCTGCCACTCTTACTTATCTCTTGGTCTATGTTGATGATATTCTTATCACTGATAACTCTTCTTCTCATATTCAGTCCTTAATCTCTCAGCTTTATTCTGTTTTTTCTTTCAAAAACCTGGGTTCTCTCTCTTTTTTGGGTATTTCAGTTACAGCTTCTTCTTCTGGGTTTTTCTTATCCCAGTCTCACTATGCTTCTAAGTTGCTTCAGCAAGTAGGCATGACTAATTATAAACCTGCTCCTCCTTCTCCTCTTAGTCTTCCTTCCTCTTCTTCTATCTCTTCATTCTCTTTCCCAACTTTTTCCATTCATTCTCTCTATAGAAGTCTTGTTGGTGGCTCACAATATTTGACCATCACTTCCAGATTTGGCCTTTGTTGTGAATCATGCCTGTCAACACATGCAAACTCCTTCTCAAGATGATTTTGCTAAGGTTAAACGCCTGCTTAGATTTGTTCAAGGGACCCTTCATCATGGTTTGCACTTTTCTTCCAATTCCTTTGAACTTCATGCTTTTCAGATGCTGATTGGACTGGTAGTCCTTGTGATAGAAGATCTACTTCTGGCTTTTGTCTTTATCTAGGTTCTAATCTGGTTTCTTGGACTGCTAAGAAGCAGCCCACTGTGGCTAGGTCCTCTACTGAAGCTGAATACAGGTCCATGGCTCAAGCTGCAGCTGAGGTATCTTGGCTTCAAATGTTGCTTCGTGATATGCATATCTCTTCCTCTGTTCCTGTGCTTTGATGTGATAATTTGTCTGCATTATCTTTGGCCTCTAATCCTGTTTTTCATGCCCTGCGGCAGCTCACTCTCCAGTGTCAATGACATGCTTCCCAACAGTGACAATGCAGACAAGTCTAAGCCTGCCAAGTCTAAGCAACAACAGCAGCCCAAGGACTTGTGGTCTACATCTGCTAAGTCTTAGCAACAGCAACTGTGCCAGAGCCCTATAGTGTGTATAGGTTAAGAGTTAGTGTATCTTAGTCAAAGAGGTGTGTATGTTAGAAAACCCACTTAACAACTATTTGTTAGCTTATTAAGACTGTTATACTGTTGTGTCTATAAATCTAGAGATCTGTTCTTGTAACGAGAGGTTGGATTCATTTTTTGTTAAATAATATCTTTTCAAATTTTTGCTCTCTTTCTCTTTTCTCTTCATCAAAACTTTGACCTTGAATTTAATGAAGAAGATTTTTACTACTTGTGCAGCATGTAATATATAATAAATATTTTATTTTATTTTTATTTATTTGAACTGTAAATGCATCGCGTGTTCCAACAACTAGTGTCTATATGTGTAAGGAGATATTTTTAATGAATGTAGAAAAACTAAAAACAGAAGTGATTTAATACATTGTACAAGTGGATCAACCATTAAGTCAGGCTATCGCTTGAGGCTTATAAAAAAAATTCAAAAAATTATTATTATAAAAAGTCTCAAATTTTAAAGATTTAATTAGATAAAATTTAATTTTGATGTTTAATTTGAGATTCCTAAAAATTTTGAATCGCTGATTACATAATTAGTTACATGAGAGCGAAAAACAATTGTTGTGAACTTGGGTGAGATAGTGTTTTTCGGGTGTGAGAGTGTGTTTTCTTTTCGTTCTTGTGCATTTACTGTCATAGTGAGGACAATTCCTCTCGTAAAATGTGGACTAATTATCTTTTTAATTTTATATTTGTTTCTTTCCATTATTCTAAATTATGTGATGGTTAATCAGAAAGAGTTGGTCTAGTGGGTGCAACTTGAAACTTGGGAGTGTATCCTCTCTAGGTCTTAACTTTCATCAGATGCTATAAATTCCTTGAGGTCACAACCGCGGGCTTTGCCTGATTCAAGTAAAGGGACAGTTTACGTGGGTTCCAGAATTAGTTAAAATACACATAAACTAACCCAAATACCTGATCATTATATTAAAAAAACAAAATAAAATAAAATAAAAAATTTATGTGATGTGTTGTTTTTCTAAACCTCGTCTCTGTTTTCGGGGCCCCTAAAACATATTGACTTGAGAAGCTTCTTTGAAATGAGTTCCAAAATGCACAACCCTCTTTCTTGTTTTATTTCATTTACTTGAAAGCAGGAACCATTCTTACCCCACCCCCATTAAAAATAAAAATAAAAATAAAGTAGTTAGGTTCTAATAAGTGAACTGGTTGTCTAATAGGTCTTATGAAAAAAATTTGTCATAAAAAAAGTTACTAATTGTAAGTTTTAGTGGCAATTTATAAAAATCATGACAAAAAAAATTACTAATTGTCAATTTTTAAAGACGTATGTAAAAAATTGTCACAAAAAAATTATTTTTAGCTACAATTTTACCAAGACTTATTTTGAATAGGACTTGATGGGAATTGAGTCTAACTATTAAGACCTATTAGTAGTTTACCCTACAAAAAATTATAAAAAAAAAAAGTAAAACATCTCTCTTCAACTTTATGTGGTAGGAGAGATCCAAAATATTTTTTTTTATTAGCTAAAGTCCCTCAGGTAAGAACATGGGGATTAAGCCCCCAAGTCATGAGTTCAAATCCCTCCTGGGCCAATCTCCTGGGCGTAGTACAGTTGGTTAGGAGGTTGGACCTCAAGTTATCTAACCAGCACTTGGTGTGGGTTCAATGCTCTCCCGCTGTGCGAGTCTTGACTTAAGCAGAGCTTGTCTTGGGAGGTCGGGGCAAGTTTCCAGGTTATAGTCTCCTCGCTCCGAACGGCTAACAGGACACCTTGGTGATTTCTACAAAGGGGCGCTGCATTGGACCTGCGGGAGAGTAGGGAGGATTTTTTTGTTAAAAAAAAAAAAAAAAGTCCCTCAATAAAATTTCTTTGTGAAATCAGAGAAAATTTTTGTGAAAATTAAAATTTCTGTGTCGGTACCGAAATTTCTCTGAGTCGAATTTTTTCTGTAAAAATATTGAAGGACTTTAACTACTATAAAAATATTATATGTTTTTTATCTTATAAAATCTTAATATCTGGAAATACTTTAAAAAAATTCTCCTTAAAAAAAACTAAAACCCAAAAAATAATAATAAATAAATAAATAAATAAAGAAGACAGAGAGATGAAGGAGATCCCCTAAATCCCCAATTAGTAATAAAAAATAAATAAAAATATTTTCAAAAAGTTTTTTTTTAAAAAAAAAAAAAAGCAACACTTTTTCCTACATATTGTATATATATAGATTTCCTAAAGTTCATGTTGATCTTAAATTTCAAGTATTTATTAGGATTTCATATGTTTATGTACAAAATGTCATGTCATATATACAATACGACATGACAGCAATTTCATATGTATATATACAATATGATATGAAACCACTGTGGGAATGGCCAAAATCAGAATAATTTTTTTGTTTTTATCGTATAGACACTGCTGGAAAACAGACTTTTAGTGGCGGTTAAGAAACGCCGCTATATCTTTCAAAAACGCCGCTAATTCCTTTTGCGACGTTTAGTACCAAACGTCGAAGCTGCAGCCGTCGCTGTATCTTTACGACGTTTTAAAAACGTCGCGATATTAGAATAAGCGGCGTTTTTAGAAACGCCGCGAAATGTCCCTACCATGACGTCACTATAATTTTAGCAACGTTTTCAAAACGCCGTCATATCTTTTTAAAAAAATTGACCATTAACTTTTTGGAGTTTAGGTGGCGTTTTAAAAACGCCGTAAAATCCTCTTCTTTTTTTTTGTGAAATTGTGCTAATTTTATGTTATTAAACTAAAAAATACCTATAATAAAATTGAATAACCTTAATATGAAATAATAACTCCTATTCAAATAATAAATGCAACATTATTTCACTTTCCTATTCAATTTAATATCCAATCATCATTACCCACAAAATAACATATTCAAAAATTAAATTCACAATTCTCAACCAAAAAATCAGCAGTCCTATGGCAGCAAAAATCAACACCAGCCAAAAGTCACACATAGCCTTGTTCTTATCAACTAGACCAACTTGTATTACAAAAGCTTTTGTAAAATAATTTGCTTCCAAAAAATGAAAAAATGGATCATTATCCACATCCATACTAGATCTACCAGGTGTCTCTGGTGTCTCTGGGCGCACGCAAGTTTTACATGTTATAATCTGAATGGAGGAAGCTTTCATATGGCGTTCCGTAGAGTGCTCTCTGGATATCATCCCAGTTCTCAACGTGTTGGGACAATGAACCTTTGTGTATCTTCACTTGCTGACTCTTCAGATCCCTCTGTGGAACCCTCAGAAAATCTTGGACATCCTTCAATTTCTGCAAAATACATGGAAAACAGTACTTTTGTATGGAAACAGAAAGAAAAATAAAAATAAAAATTGGCATCTTTTTAGGATCAACTGTTTTATAAGACGATGAAATGTCTTACGGTGGAATTTTTTATTATGTCCTCGTAGTATAGGATAATGTGTTGGGTGCTCTTGAAGTATTCTAAAGCTTTGGCAGTCATTTCCTCTACTTGCCTCAGATTGCGGATCAGCAGTGTTGTATCGATTGTAGGTTTATAACTTGCAAGTATTTCTGCCTGAAACAGTATCACTTATTCATGACACAGAGAGAAGGAGAGGGAGAGAGAGGGGGAGAGAGAATGACTTGTGAGAGAGAGAGACCTCATGGGATGAATGCACATGAGATTTATGTGTTCCGTTCAGTGGCTTAGCATTTTGATCGTAAGAGTTTGAAAGAATTGAAATCATCCTGCGCAGAAGATTTCTTCTGAAGAGAAAAATCAATGAAACGCCCTTGGTATTGAAATATTCTACAATTTCTTCATGATGCTGCATTAAACCCTGCATTTAAAATAAAAAAAATAAGGAAACCGTACTGTGGTTACATCAATTCAACATGCATGCAACAGAGGAAATTAACATTACAAAACTGAATTATAAGTTCATACACATTATTAATAACATCAGTAAGTAATGAGTGTGGTCAAATTGCATAATTTCAAGGTTGTCCGTGTCAGAAAGATGGAAAATTTAGCGGAAAACATGCTTCCTGTAATGAAATATTAACAAATAGGTTAAAAACACCGAAGTAAATATAGAAGTAGACACGACCATCTATTCATAAGGCTTTTTTTTCAAATAGGTCTTCCCTACCATCATTTGCAAGAACCAAGGAGTAAGTTGAATTGGCTGATGCAAAGAAATAAAAATCATGTATTCAGCACGCTGATCCACTTGCCCATATCCATGTAATAAAACAAGCAATTGAGGAGGCATGTAGGAGAGGACTGGTCTGTTTTATTTTTTTGAAAAATAATTTGCAAATAGAAAATATATTTTAAAAATTATAAGCCACTTTAATGAATTTTTTCATCTGGAATGAGTGAACACATTTTTTTACTTGAAACTAATAAACACTTGGGCCACATCATTTTAAATGAATTTTTTGCACAAATCTCGACAAGATAGCAAAAAGCCACATAAATTCAGGCTTCAAGAGACCTTGTCCAGATCCTCCCTTCTTCCTCCCAGTCCCAAACCAGCCACTCAGCCACCTCTCTTAACACATGACTCAACTTTTTGGTGTTGTAAAGAGAGACAGGAGGCACATGGAAGTAATACATTTTTACAAACACGTAAACTAAATACAGAACACACATAAATGAATCACATTTTACAAAAATTGTAAGACTTAGTTCTTAAAAATCTTGACCATTCATATCCATTGTGTCTGGTTCTCTAATCGATTCTACCTTCCTAGACTTGTTCAGAAAAGATCCCATGGAAAAAGCTGATATTGCTGTCCAGGCCATCACATCCATGTTCCTAGCATCCAATATAAAGATGGCAAACAATCCATGTTCCTAGCATCCAATATAAAGATGGCTAACAATGTGCAGCAGCAAATTCAATACACAAACTAGCATAAAAACATGAAACCATAGAACTAAAGTGCCACAGACCAGAAATGGAGGGTCACTCAAATCGGAATTTGTTAGGCAGTCAACAGCTGATTTGGTTCTACATGTCAGCTAAGGAACCTAACCATGGACAGACTATGTTCTTCTAACCATTTACATATGGAGAACCACTTCCCAATAAAATATTGGCATCTCATCAAATTAGGTACACCACCCACTCCAATACATACAAAAACTAGGATAAAAACATGAAGCAATAGAATCAGAGTACTACAAACTAGAGAGGTAGTAACACAAAAATTGAACATTACAGCAGGGGTTTGGAGGACAGACTATGTTTTTCTAAGCAATAACATATGGAAAACCTATACCCTTTAAACATAGGCATCTCAATTAGGTACACCACCCGCCCCTCCCTCTCTCCATACATGGCTGCAAGCATGTGACGCACCCCATACAATTACCCATGGCAACCAAGTTCAAAATGGAAACTCATAATACGCTTATCAAAGCAATGAAACTCTGCTTTAAACATGTTGCAGCGAAGCAAAAGAGATGACTATAAAAACACAAAAACAAAAACAAAAACAAAAAAATCTAGCACACACGGTGTTTGTAGGATGTAGGATTGATGTCAAAATGAATTTGTTTTCCATAGTTTTCTGCATAGTACAAAATTATTTCAAGAAACAACCACCTAATAAAAAAAGATCGTGAAACGAGTCCCAGAGTATCATGATTTGCCTAGCATGTACAGCCACATTCAAATGAAATTACTAGCATGCATGCAACATTCTTTCTAACGCTTCAAGAATTAATTACCACAGCGATTGAGTAATTGAAACATCTTTTTTTTACCCAAACATAGTTGTTCCATGGGCCGTTAAATTCAAATATATAGTAAGCACACCTACAAACAGCAAGGGCTTGCATTAGACCTATCACCTCTGGAATTTCCCTGTCAGCCTATTTCCTTGCAGAGATCTAATAACAAGAACCATAAGCACAGTAATGTCATAATGAAAACAGAGAAACAACATGAGGGTTAAAGCTTTTAGTTCAAACAATGAACAGAGAAGGA